AAGAAACTGTTCTTGTATAGATTATTTTCACGTGGTACTCGGAGAAACAGGATGTGACGTCTCGGACTGGATTAACCAACCTCAGGACAGGAACCATAATGTGAGATATCTATTGGTAACCAGAGTGAATATAACCTCAAACAAACCTTTACCTTGTGGACAGAGTACCTTAACGTGATTTTCACTCCCAACAACACACGAGAGAACAGGAGGTTACGATATTAACAAAATCGCATGATACGTCACGGTGACATCTCAGTTTCTCTACACCATGACGGTGACAGTTCCGACAAACACGATGTTCACATGAATAAGACTTCACATTAAGATTACTGTTAACTAGAAGATGGTGAAAACAGTGAAAATAATATCAGCAAGTTATTATGAAATGCTCTTAATTATTTTAAACTATTCCCTTACACGGGAGCATGAATGCATTCTGCAGGCATCAATCGTAGATACGCTGAGACGCATTCACATTCAGGTACAAATGAACAGTCAACGCAAGCATTTATTCCACATAATATAAAATACATATATGTACACTGATGACTTCAGGAAACTCTTATTAGCAAATCAGAGGAGAATTACTCCTTCTGACTATGTATGCGTTCATGTTCTTTCAGAGTACGCCTTCGACTGAACGTCTTTTTGCACACGTCACAGGAGAATGGCCGCTCCCCGGTATGAATGACTTGATGTTCCTTCAGGTGACACCTAAAATTGAACGAATTATTACACACGTCACAGGCGTACGGCCGCTGCCCACTATGTAACTGTTGATGTTTGCTCAGATCATTCTGACTAACGAAGGATTTATTACATACGTCGCAGGAAAATGGTCGTTCCCCATTGTGCGAGCGTTGATGTTTGTTCAGAGAATCCCTCCAACTGAAGGACTCGTTACACACGTCGCAGGAGAACGGCCGCACCCCCGTGTGCAAGTATTTGTGCGTCTTCAGAGTACTCGAACTAGTGAACGACTTGTTACACGCGTCGCACCGATACGGCCGCTCACCACTGTGCGTGCGTTGATGATCCTTCAGGTGACTCATCTGACCGAATGATTTTTTACACACGTCACAGGTGTGTGGTCGCTCTCCGCTGTGAATGCGCTGATGTCTCCTCAGATCGCTCTGGTTAACAAATGATTTATTACACAAATCACAGCTATAAGGCCTCTCCCCACTATGTATTCGTTGATGTCCCCTCAGATGACTCACCTGACTAAATGATTTATTGCACACCTCACAGGAGAATGGCCGCTCCCCTTTATGCAAGCGCAGATGTCTGCTCAAATCGCTCTGAGTAATGAACGATTTATTACACTCGTCGCAGACATACGGTCGGTTCCCACTGTGCGAGCGCTGATGCCTGTTTAGGTCACCCTGACTAATGAACGATTTATTACAAACACTGCATGGATACAGTATGTCCCCATTATGTATGCGTTGATGTAACTTGAGACGCCTCATCTGGATAAACGATTTATTGCAGACCTCGCAAGAGTACGGCTTCTCACCAGAATGTACACGTTGATGAATCTTCAGGAGACAACTGTGAATGAACGATTTGTTGCATGTACCACAGGGATATGGCCGCTTACCACTATGTACTATGCGTTGATGTTGGTCGAGATTACCCCTGCGGCTGAATGATTTGTTACAGATATCACAAGAGTATGGCTGCTTCCCATTATGTATGCGTTCGTGTATCTCGAGACGACTCTTCAAACTGAATGACTTGTTACACACGTCGCACGAAAATTGCTCCACATCATCATGTATATATGGATGTGACTCCAAAATACTCTGACTATTGAATGACTTATGATGCACATCATACAAATTTGGATGCCCTGCGCCATGCAAGAGTTGATCTTCATTCAGAGGATTCTGGTAGAGAAGAGAGAAAAATATCAGGACAATTCTTAATATAAAAAATAATCAGTTTAAAAGGATAGTACAAATGAAGGCAATAAGTATTACAATTTGCATACTATTCTTTAATAGGAATTACAATTCAAGAATATTCCAGAATATGCTACATATTACTTCAAGACCCTACAACAACTACACTTCTAAAACAGCATGAAAATAATGAGTATGATTCCAGCACACCTGATATTGAGCACGCATCCACCGTCAATGTGACATTATGACTCAGGATAACGCAAAATTAAACTTCACCCTTAATTAAGACGTTATCCGGCTACACGTACAAAAATAACAATAGCAACTCTCTACATCCATGAAATTGGCCTAACAATATACACATAAACATAGAACTCACCCCAAGTTCATCTAGTACCGGATCCTCCTCCTCTTGCGTAGCGGTCATGTCCTCAATCTTCATATATACGACCTGATTTTCATCAAGAGATTTCAGACGTGTCTCACTATCTAAACCAGGTACAACCTGCAGTAAGTCAACATAAGGTCATGACAATGCTCCAAAATTACATAAAACAGAATACATTTTCCTCAAAAAATTATCAAAACTATTCATATGAGGTTCTCGTAGCAAGTATCAATGTCGGACTTCTAGGTAGGTACCACAGTTTCTCTGAAACACTGATATCAAACTATTACTAAAAAGACTGCGGTAATACATGAGGTCCTCACTTAATGGTACCTGCACCTTGTCGTGGTGGTGGGGCTTGAGTACCTCAGTGACCCCAAGAGCTACTGGTAGGGTCGAGAGGGAGGGGTCAGACTAAGACAGGTACCCTGGTCTTCCAGGTTGGGGGTTGGTCGCAAGGCTAACAACCTTGCGCCGTAAAAAGGAAGATGTTTCGAAACCTCGATCAAAGCCTCGGACATATGGACCTAACAGAGGACCGAATGGAAGAGGAGAATTGAGGAATAGTAAAAAACAGAGATGCCATTGCTACATGAAATGATGAAGAGATGGAAATGGGAGGGGTGACAAGAATTCCTTTTGACAGAATATGCAGGACATTTATAGCCACACAGAGAAAACAAACCACAGCTTGATACTAGTGGCATGAACACCATCAAAATGTTGCAAACATTTTTTCATGCAGTTTTTATGTAACACACAGAATAAAGGACTAACAAACAGAACAAACAAATCAATTTGTAAATTTTATTGTAGTCTCTGAATCGGAAGTCAATAAATTACTCGTATTGTGAAAATAAATGAACGCAAACACGCCAGAACTACAAAAATCACGAAGATTTCTGTCTTCTGGGTTATTGCGCTGTGTAGTCTGGTCGATGTTAACCAACGTTTCAGAGGTCATACTGCCTCCGTCATCAGGGC